AATGTCTACAGAGACCCTTAAGAGGAAGCTGATCTGTCCTATATCACTTCTTTATGATCCTTGGAGAGACTGTCTTGGATGAAGACTATGCCCAGTTGATGAGGAATGGAGGCAGGAGCAGCCTGGGTCTAAGGAGGTAGTCCTCAAATCCATACCTAGGTTTTTAGGTTAAGGTAGAGTAAAGTACTGTTTCAACTACTCTATCATTTAAGGTTACTCAAAATCGTCACACAGAGGTACTTCTGGAGAATTCATTAGGGAGATGGGACAAAGAAGGATAGTCAATAAATTGAACAATGTAAGGAGAGGGCTGAGGACGTAAAATAACCTGACATGTCTGTGACAACAAACAGAAGCATCCTCAGGGAAAGGGATCATCACAAAAGGAAATAGAAACACTTAGTGGTATCAGTATTGGTCCCCTTTTAAAACAGATTAATCCAAACATCCAAATTTGCCTTGACCATGGTGAGGAATCATTACACACTGTGCAGAGAGACATGGGTTTAAACTCAACTCTGTGGATTCAATACAAGTACTTTGAAAGCACTGACTCTTACTGCAGTCAATACATTATTTACTCAATTGCTTATTGTTTAGCAAAGAAGTTTATTATTAGCTGGTATAACTTCTCTATATGGTCCTTTAAAATGCTGAGCTTCTGTATGGCCCTGCAAAGGGAACTAGAAATCTAGTTATCAACAAGGGTTCTCTCTCCCTACCTCCCCCAACCCATTACAGTTCACTTTTTGTTTACCCAGGTGTAACTAAGAAGTGTGGGTTACTAAAGAACTTGCTAGTTAAGGTTTTCAAGTTGATTTCATGAAGGCATAAAAGGAGTTGGAAAGGTGGCTCAATGGTCGAGAGCACGTACTGCTCTTGCCAAGTTCAGTTCCCAGCGCCCATGTTAGGCAATTCACAACCTGTTACCTCCAGCTCAGGAGGTCTGATGCCATCATCTGGCCTTCATGGGCACCTGCAGACAGGTGCACACTAATAAAATAAGTCTATTTTTAACAAAAAGACATATCATGTGCTATTTTGTAACTGGCTTTTTCAGAGAGTTAAATTGAGCACAGATGGGAGAAAGAGTTTCTGCCAAGCAAGCAGCTTTGGACTCTGAGGATGCTGAGCTGAGAGCAAATGTCTTGGAGAGGAAGTGTTTTACTGGCCATCTGAACATTAATGGATGGGAGCTGATGTGCACACAGTGTGCTTGTCTAGAAAATACTAGGAAGGTAGTACAACGTCTGAAAAGATTTATGATAGTCTGTCCTAGTGGGGGTGAAACAATACCAGTTTAGTCCCTCTCAGAGTTAACTTGCTGATGATACTCCTGTGGCAAAGAGACCTCCAGTGATGCCTTTGAGGACAAGCCGCTGTCACTGGTGCAGAGAATCAGCAGTAAATAGGGGGTCTAACAAAGAGTGTGTGCTGCTGAGCTTCGTGTCAGGTCTTTCTAGGTGTCTGCTTCAGCAAACTCTGCCTCATTTCCCTGATCTTGCCACATCCTGCATTTTCATCAGTAATGATTCTAAAAGATTTCTGACTGCTAAATTGTTGATATCAGTCATATTAAGCTTTTATATATATATAAGGATGTGTGTAATATGGATTCTAGGGCAGAGTGTCGGTATGAAAGGGAAGGGGGGACTACAAGGATGTAAGGGGGAAAGGAGGAGAGTATAGTAACAGGAAAACTAATAGTGGAAGTGAATTTGACTGAAGTATAGAGAGTAAGTGTGGAAATGTCACAGAGAAAGCTGTTAAAATTAATGTATTCCAAGAAGGAAAACAAATGTTTCAATCCAGAAATTACCTATCCATGGATTCTCAGAATCGTTTTATGATTTTAGGAGCTAAGTGTGTGTGAGAGCAGGTGCATACATTCAGTTGTCTCCTTCCACCGTGTGAGACCTGGAGATGGAACTCAATGACAAAGTCTGGCACGATGCACCTCTACTCACTGAGTCATACTGCTGGTCATGGAGTAAGTAACTTTAAAGAAATGTCTTCAGTACCATAAATGCACTATGGTTACAAACAGGACTGCAGTGCAGACGGCCCTGTGATGCTGATCATGCACAATACCGTAGGACATCAGTCACTGATGAAAACTGCATGCCTGCCAAGGGCATGGTAAAATGCATCATGCGATTACTTCTCAGGGTGACCACTTCCTGCTACTTAACCCAGGGGAACTGATGTGGTGTGTTTACCAAGGTCCGAAGTGCCCAGAATCAAAAAACTATTAGAGGTAGGGAATATAACACAACGGGGCAATCAACTTCACATATGTTCACATACGTTCACACACACACACACACACACACACACACACACACACACACACAAAGTCTTCTAGTTTGGGGGTATAGACTATTGTGTTTGTATCATTCTTTCATTAGTTAGCTAGCTGGCAATCTTATTAGCCTGAGAAAAACAAGCTATTTTCCAGATGTTCCCAAGAGAACAAGCTACAGGCTGGAATTGATCATGTAACTTGCATTGCAAAAAATATTAAGGCAAAGAAGGGGTAACAGGCAGGCAACAAGTACCACCTCGGAAGAAAATAATTACTCAGGATGAACTAAGAAAGCAACTCACTCAGAACCAGTTAAGGGAGAAACAAACCAGCTTCTGAAAATACTGAGTGGGTTGACACATCTAAAATAAAATAATGAAAACCAGCACTTGCTACTTATTTAAGTCTGCCAAGTAAAAATAAGACAGTTGATGGTTTACACAGAGGGCTGGGGACACAACCAAGTGATAGAATACTGGCACATGTGAGGTAATAAGTTCATGCCCAGCACTAGAAACAAATCACAAAGGGAAAGCTAGATAAAAAAGAATTATCAATCGGGTTATTTTCCAGAATGCCTGGCTATTTGCACTGTTGAAGTTGACTTGATGTTATTTCTCCAGACGTGTACATCCACCCTCCTGTACCACATAGCTCTTACATCATCGCATGTCTACTTTATATGGAATTATAATCTTCATGCTAATATTCTCAAAGGGAAGTGTCTCAAGGGTCAGGGCAGCGCCCAGGAAAACAGCACATGACCCTAGAGAGTCACCTGGAGGCTGCTGTTAGCATGCCAGGAAGTACACTCATCAGCCTCATTACTTAACATCGTGTCTTGTTATTTTGTAATCTTAACCTCTGAATAGGCAATACAATCTATACCTTTAAATTGGTACAGAATGCTTGGAGGGAAGCAAGCAATTCAGCATTAGAAGAAAACTACATCCTGGTATTCAGAAATGAGATTCCCTGTCTAGAATCCACTCATGTGGGGCTGTGGTCCCCACTGGGATACACAACCTAAATGTATCACCACTGAGCATCTCACGGTGGAGACTTCTAAAGATGAGACTGACCAACTCTTTTATCCACTGGGGAATCTGCAGCAGTGAAAGAACCAGTCATAAGAAAGGATTGCCCTTGGCAAATGTCAAAGTTTACCCTTGCATACAGTCAGACATTTCCAGGAAATACAGAACTAGACATGTTTCTGATGATGATGTCACATGAATGATTTGTTGGATGTATCGTTTAAACTCCCATCCTGACAAAGCAGATCTGGAGTCAGCCAATTAATATGACATGGAACAGCGTCCAGGTTACCAGGACATTTCCCATGCTGCTTTCAGCTCACGGAAAGCCAGCAAGGCCTTAAAGGCATTAAGCAGACAAGACTGGGGAAGTATGAGGTGCTAAGACCCTGCGTTCAGGAAACAGGACCTGAACAGGACACTGGAGTCAAACTTAGCTAATTAAAATTATGCATATGTAAAGTGGCTGTGGTCTAAAACAGCAATCACACATCCAATAATTTTATTTTTCATCTGGAAAAAAATCTAGCAAAAAAGTGGAACTAGAAAAAGCTAGAGCCTTCTGGGAGACAGTCCCTGAATTTGAAGGTCCAGTTCAGCAAAGGCCTGCTGTGTTTCAGATGAACCTGGAGGGTGCACGCTCTGCTGTGTGTGTCCTTCAAAACACTCAAGTCTTATTCCCAGGTAGTAGGTAATAGTTTCAAAAATAGTATTCATCTCACCAGCCCAAGCATCGGCCTCCTGTGGCTTGTCCAGTAATAGCACACTGCCATTTCTGTAACCACAGGCATCTATTTTCAAGGTCCTGATGGAAAACTTCAAACCACTTCCAACTTCTAAATTTTTTTGTTTCCTGGCCCAGGCTTCCCTCTCCTCTCAATGCTAACTGAATTTTCTCCATCACTTTGGTGGGCAGATTGGTAGAATCCTGGCAGAGACCTATGACTTCCTAATTCTTTATAGTGACTCACTCTTAGTTCTTAAAGATAAAGAGGACGTCACCACCTAGGTGTGGAGTTGCCAAGAAATCAGAGGGAGAGAAATGGGACTGAGGGTTCTTCACTCACCTTCTGGCTGATTGATCTGAGTTTTCAACCCACAGCCTAGCCACACAGGCTTCCTGACTCGCTGAAAGACCCACTTCTAGCCAGAAGACAGTGAACTTGTTCTTGAGCCAAGCCAGAATACTTCTTGCTCTGAAAGGTGTTAGCTTCTTGTGAAGAATAAAGGAGAGTAAGTTGTGTTTGGGACCAGCAGTGACGCCTGGAGCAGACTTGAAGGCTCAGCACAATCTTCTGAGGCACTTATTCATAATTAGCAGCACACGCAGCTGCCAGCCAAATCTGGGACGAGGCCTAGACAGCTGCATTCCTAATTAGCCCAGCACACAGCGCACACCAGCCCTCCACCATGAGGTAGGTAGACTTTAGCTTTGAGAAACACATGAAGCAGTGACTGTGCACTTACTTGAGACACACCAGGCAGGCTACACTAGCATTCACCCCTGGACAACATCTAAATGAACACATATACATCTGACTCTATGTAAGTGTGCACGACCAACCCCACACCCACTTCCATCTCTTTGAAAACTCAGGTGTCCACGCAACCTTCATTCACATGCAAACCAAAAGAAAAAAGGAAGTGACAATCCTGAATTCAGGTAGATTTTTAAGGTAAGCAATTATTTTATTTTCCTGGCCTGCATCATTGACTTCAAAGAATCGGAACCTGCAGCTGACAGAGCAGACGTACACATTGCTCCCAACAGGGAGGACGCTCCTCATGTGTTGAGATGAATTGAAATGTCATGTGTGAGTGCAATTCCGGCTCCCCCCCCCTCCCCACATAGCTAAATGAAAATGAATGAGTAAAACTCCCCATGAAACCCTGCAGTCCTCACTCCATCTTTCCTGAAGAGCAGATGGCATGGAGGCAAACGGCTGGCCAATCACTTAGCATTCCAGTGCATGTGAGACTGAAGAGCCCGCAGCAGGGGGAGGGTAAGTGGCAGGTGGGTAATCTTGCTTACCTTGTGCCCTGAACCTTCCACACGTAGACACACTGACCCAGCACATGAGAAAGCTAAAGGAAATGCTAGAGGACTGATCCTGAGGCTCCTGAAATTCTAAGGTTCTTATGGGATGAGGAGCAGAGATGCCCAACCCCGAACTCCAGTTTAATGCCATTCAATCTACCGGCAATCATAACCACGTTTCTGCACAACTCTATTTCCCAAAAAAACTCCATCTAAACATTTGTGCGAATGTCCACTGCCACATCTGGGGTGGTGCTATGACACCTGTGTGGAAGGAAGAAAAGGACCAGGAGAGGGAGGAATTGGAGACAGAGGTCAGGGGTCACAATGCTTCAATGACAGTGAGTATTTTTTGGTCCCTTAGTATGGTCCCCTACAGCTCCTAAAGCATTTTCCCCCTTTCCCTATGTGGCTTGTGCAAATGCCAAAAATCAAACCTCTGCCCAAAGAGACAGGAGTTGCTGCTGAACTGTATTCTTCTCTAGTGGCCACCTTCCCTCCTCCCAACCCTCTGATGAAACTGCAGGAACACTCACAGCAAGGCTGTGAACGATGATGTCGTCCCCATCTGGCTCTCACAGCCAATGCAATCCAAGTTCTTCCTGGGCTGAGGAAGCAGAGAAAACTAACAATGGAGCTTGTGAAAAAAAGATGACAGTGTGTGTGGGATGATGTTTTCCGATGTCTTCACCTTGCGTCTCCTCCATGGTTGGGAGCCAGCCCTCTGGTTCCAAGTCCCACGCGCACCCCTCCCCTACCCCCAAGTCCAGGCGCTCCCATCTGCTGGGCTTCTGCCTCATTTTCCATAGACACTTTCATCACTGTAGGCCACATACAGAAAATAGTCTTCCTCGTGGTTGTCCTAAAAGGAAACAAGAAGACAGTAGAAAATACTAAACATTCATGTTCATTGTCTCTATGATTCTGAGTCTTGCATGACCTTGTGGAGAAGACATATAGGTCATCATTAGTCCCCATTAAAAGAATGGAGGTACAGCCCAGGGGTAGAACACTCTCCTAGCATGTGTGAGGCTCTGGGTTCAAGTTCTAGGTAAGGGAAAAAGGAAAAATTAAAACAAAAAAAGAACAAAGAATTAAGAAGAGGTGTCAACTACATGATGAGCTCTGGCTTCATAAAAGCAAGATTTATAGAGAACATATTATATCATCAACAGCAGGAAAATAACCATATTAAGCCATAGTCTTAAAAAAACATTCATTCTCTAGTCATGGACATTTTCTTTTTTTTCTTTTTTGTGGGGGGATGGGTCTTGAGACAGGGTTTCTCTGTAGCTTTGAAAGCTGTCCTGGAATTAGCTCTAGTAGACCAGGCTGGTCTTGACCTCACAGAAACCTGCCTGCCTCTGCTTCCCGAAGGCTGGGATTAAAGGCGTGCGCCACCACAGCGCTGCAACATTTCCTTTCACAGTGGTCAGCAGTGACTACTGAGCCTAATACTGGTCAGCGTGCACTAATAAGTGATTAATGTTTGGCCACATATAATTTATCTAAACTGCCCCCTCCAAAGTATAAGGAATACTGTGGAAGAAGAGGAAGAAAGAATTTAATGGGGGCAGGAAGTCAGTGGTAAGGTGACCATATTTCTGTAAACACTCTTCCCATTGGCCTGCAAATGACCTTGGCCATAAGAGGTCTAGCTGACGAGAGAAGCAGCAGTAGGAGGGAAGAGAGAGGGTAAGGGGCAGGACGAATGTGATTGAAATACTACATGCACAAGTACGAAAGTCCAAAAGCAAGTACAGTTCAATGTGAGTAATAGAACCCTGAAAGCTGGTCTACATTTTCAGTAAAATTCTTTCAACTTGTTTTTTTTTTTTTTTTTTTGGTTATGTTTTCAAAGTTTTAACAAACAAAATATTGGGAAATAATTCTTAATTTGGAAAGAAATATTATTTTATGGCTGGAGTAGGGGTGAGGCTAGTAAAGCACTTGCTTTGCAAGCCCGGAGGACCTGAGCTCAACGCCAAGAACCTGGATAAAAATGGCATGAGCAGTGTAGTGTGTTTGTAACCCCAGCTCTTGGGAGAGAGAAAGAGGAGGATCCCTGGGGCTCATTGGCTAGACAAGCCAGTATATTGGTGTGCCCTAAGCCCAGGAGAGACCTTGTCTCAAATGGGGCACAAAGTGTTCTTGAGGATGACACCCTAAATTATCCTCCGACTTCCACCTGTGTGCACACATATGCGAGAAAAAAATGACGACGACAACAACACAAAACAAAGAAACAAAACCCCTTCACTCTAGCAAGGAGAGCAAAGCTATCACAAATACAAACCGACATGCACAGTCATGGGGAATAAATGCTGTGGAATATGGGCTAGACCAGGGGCTCCTAGATATGCACGTGACTAATGGGGCACAATGGGAAGGCAGCACCTTGTGTGACAGTGTTCAAGGAGAAGTACAGTTGCAGTCTTAGATCACATCATTTATATATGAAGTCCTAACTACAGCTTCTCCCCACTCAAATTCTCCCTTAATTTTATACTTTAGCCCATTCACTGTACGTACTCAGACAACGGGAACCCTTTGTGGTCTTAGGCTTGTTCTACAAAGAAGAGCATCTGGATGTGGTTGACATAAACCAGATCTGCAGAGTTCACGTGGGAACTATGCTGACAGAGCTCCGGGTTCAGACTGAAAAGAGGTCAAGTGTAGCTGGTGTTTCCTTTCTCAGGTCTACCGCTAGATGGGGATAACCGGCAAGCAGGTGGTGTGCACAGTTCACTAACAAATTATGCTTTCACACATAGAACGTTGAGCTCCCGGTGATCCCTTGCTACCAAGATCTGCTCAAGCCAGCAATAAAGCACCATAGTCAGACAAGATTGAAAGGAGATTTCAAAAGATTAAACCGAGAAGGTGCTCCATCCTGAAAGGACAAGGACGGGGTATCTAATCTCCCAGCTTCACACTGCTGTGTGTAAGAGGATCCCCATTAAAAACACCTCCTGCCCTAGTTCCCAGGTGTGTTAACAAACCCTGGAACCAAAGCTAGGGGAGGCCAGGCTGCTCGGTATTGTGACCAAAACCATTACCTCATACAGCTGGCCCATGGTGGCACTCGTGGGAGGGATAGTGTTGTTGACAAAGAAGAATAAGGCGTCCTCAGGTCTCAGGTGGATCCTCTTCCGGATTAAGAAGTAGAACTGGCCAACTATGGGAAGGAAACAGAGAGCAGGGCAAGAAAAGAAAAAGGATTAAGGAAAGAGAAAATCTCAGGAAAACCAAAATCTACTGTATCTATCCCTCTTTAGGTTAAATATAAGCTTTTCAGACCCAAATACTATCTAAGATCCTTAGTGGCAAAATAGAAACTGAGGCCTGTATAGCCCCTGAAACACCACAGTGGGACTGCTTCCCTTTCCCCTTATTCAGCCTCAGACACAAAGTCAGCACACCAGCCCAGCCTAATGACTACTGTGGGGGAGTGTAATGCAGATTGAAGCATTCCTGTCTAAAATGGACCCCTGATGCCTTTCTAGCTGCATTCCCACCCAGAGAGCTAACAATACGGAGAGATCCCTGGACTCTGGATATCCCAGCATGATGAGGCAAGTGTTAGGGTGATGAGCGTATTTAATGGTTGGCCTTTTCCTGCAAGCAATGTAAAGCTTCTGGAAGGCTAATGGACAAATGCATGAAGTCCAGGGCAAGCATCTAAAAGAATCTGTCTAGAGTATTCTGAAAGCACCAGGCATTTCATTAGGAGCAAGGTAAAGACTAAATATAAGATATGCTCGGGCCTGCAGGATTTATCTCACAAACAGACCTACATTTAAGAGATAAAAGCATTTAGATAGGAATCTCTAAAATGTGACCCTCCCAAGACACTGGGCTGGCTTTGGAACAAATCGACCTCAGGATCATGTTAGCTAATATTTAATGTCACGTCAATTACAGACAATTGCTCCTATACGCCACCGTGCTGCTTTGGTGTCTTCGGGAATAAGGCACGTGAGTAAGGCATTGGGAAATACCAAACAGCTGGAAGCAAGGACAGAGTGTGTGTGCCTGTCTGCACAGGTCCGCTCCCTGAAGAACCCATGCATGGTCACAAGCCATTCAGTCACCAACTTGGACTTGAAATAAAGATCAAGAATGCTTTGCCTCGAATGGAAAGTCAGAAGACGGAAAATCCATTACCGGTGAGGTCAGAGGGCACAAGGTACTTCCTCTTGTCCAGATCTGGGACCCTGGCTTTAGGAGCCTTTTCCACGATGACCTAGAAGGAGAACAGGAGAGGGGATGAAAACGGCAGACCCTAGTTATTCTTTCTTTCCACACCTTAAATTTGTCCACATTGTCTAGGCTCAGTGTCATTTTTCAGTCCTTGCTTCCAATGTTCCTTGATTTTACACAACTACAAATTACCTATAAAGAACAGTAAAAGACATTCACCTTATGGCATTTTATTAAAGAATCAAACAGTTGTTCTGTGTTTCTAGGATAGTCTAATGATCTATTTGCTTTTTGGTTTTGCCCCCCCCCCACCTAAAATACCACTTATGGACTGGGGAGATGACATGGTGACAAAAGCAGTGTGTCTGAAAGTGTGATGACTGACTTCAGATCCCTCAAGTCCCTGTGAATGCAGGGAGGATGTGTCAGTCCCGGTGCTGGGAAGGCGGAGATGGAGATCCTGGACCAAGCTGTCTGGCTGAAGTGGGAGGCTCGGGTTCAGAGTGAATAAAGAGAAGAGCAACCAAGAACTGTATGAGACATCAACCTCTGGCCTCCTCCACACGCACGTGTATCTGCACACAATCACGCACATGCCCCCTCACGTGTGCACGCCCTTACACGCATGCACACGGAGGGGGAAATGGCTTTTACAAACACACAAGATTACAGCTTCTATCTTCACTGCCTGCCAAAGGCCCCCGTGTTAAGGAAGTGCTCCTTTCTACCTTGGCTAGGCACAAGTGGTGGAAACATTAAGGGGTCGGATCTCATGGGAGGTTTAGGTCATTGAGCCCTCTGTGCTTCCACCATGATAATTGGCTGACTCACCACGGGCCCAAAGAATGGGGCCAGGTGAGCACAGACAGACTCTGAAACCAGTTGCCTTCTTACCTTCTAGAAGTTGACTGTCTCAGACATTGCTACGCCACACAGCCAACGTGGCTCAGATTTTAATCTTTGTGAAAAAATGTTCACTGCTAAGTGAAAACTACTATGAATTTTTTAATCATGAGGAACACTTTATGAGGGCAGTGCCCTGTACCATTCAGCGTTATTAACTATGTTAGGAGTTTAAGGGATTTTTCAATACCTACATTAAATATTTTTATAACATTCTTAAAGATTATACATTTTGTAACGAAGAAAAAGACACATAAAATCTTAGATGTTTATGTATTTACTTAGAAAACAAAAATATATTGCAAGAATATTAACATTGGATTCTTTATTTTGAAAAACTTATCTTAGATGTGAGAAATGAGAAATACCAAAAAGCTAAGAAGCAAAAATAGACACTGGACAAGTATCCCGAAATGCTGTGTGATCTTCAGGATGTCTGTGACCTCTCTAGGCTTCTGCACAAGCTGTACCCCCTACCCCCGAAAAGACCAAACAAGTACATGGAAATGCCTGGGTAGACAGGTGAATCCAAAGGTTCAAATTAAATAGAAAAGAGCTTGGGAAGGAGACTAGACATGGACCAAAAACCAGGAAGGAAAGAAGGCAGGCCACATAAGACAGAGCACAGAAAGCAGGGGGAGCCCTGGTAGTTACCACAGGGACTCTGAAACCTGGCAGCCCCCACCAAGAGGAAACTGTTTTCTTCATCTGTGGCAGGTGGCTCTACCACAGGGCTGTTTACAAATGTTTAAAAATACTGTGTCCGGCAGTTCCTGCTATTGCAGGTTCCTAGCACTCTGTTATTTTGAGATCCCATGACCCCCCTCTCCCAAGGCCCACGTCTTCCGAGGCCAAGCTTAAGTTGTGAGTCAGACTGCCTTAGAAACTTAATGGCTTTTCGTAAACACCTGAACATAGTAAGATTGAGTTCTGTGCCCAAGGTACAGGAACTCTGGTTACATCCCTGAAACAAAACCACATCTCTGAGGCTAATGGTAAACCCAGTGATAGAGAGGCCACCAGGAAAAGGGCTCCAGCCCCAGTACTGCGCCCTCCCCCACCCTAAACCAAATCTCTGGCATTTAGCAGAGTTCTTCTGCCACAACCAATTTCAGAGCCATAGGTCGAGAATCTCTCAGGATGAGGATCCATGAGATCTGAATGAACTTTTCTTAGACTATAAATTATCACAGAAATAAAACATTCAACATCAAGTCATAAGCAGGAAAAGAATAAGGAACTAAAAGACTCTGGGGGAGTGCAACAACCAACTGAATGAGACAGGCTCCTGGTTCGAGGAAATAGACGGGTTTCAAATGAATTTGGAGACGGGTACACTTGACAGCTTGTATTTCTGTTTAAGTTCTGAATAACGGGGCGTAGATATCCCTTAAGTTTCCTGGCTGGCACTGGCCTACCAGCTGAACTCCAGACGGCAGCAAGACTTAACCTACTTCCAGGACTCAACCATAGAAGGTAGACAATTCTGGTTAACTGAACTGTATCACAAACTGGAAAAAGGCGGCAACCTGAAGGTCAAGGACCAGCACTGTCAGATCTTTGGGTGGTGACTTCACTTCCCTGTGCTTCAGGCTATTGTCTATAGCGCAGGGATTTTGGTTGAGTGAGGTGAGCCACTGACTATGCAGACAAGGCATTCAGAGCGCTGCCTGCTACGTGGTCCACGTGTCATTTTAAAATACTAAGGGGGTGGGGCTGACAAATTCAGAGAAAATTTGAAACACAGAAATAACGTGTGAAGGGCTGCGTACTACGGAGACACAGCTATCGCGTTTCCAGCTTTTCCCTTAAGACCGTTGTGTGTAATTCCTGGAAACTGGTGAAATATTTAACTTCCCCCCTTCCTAATAGGAAATGGGGTTGAGGAGATTTTTTCAGTTGGGCCTACGTTTCTTCTAGTAGCCATAGCTGAGAGTCGGACTGAGGAAGAAGCTCCACAAAAGTACTTAAGCATCAAGAAAAATTAATAGGCAAGTCCAGCTCTTTTATCCTTTAAAGTTTATGAGCGATGTAAATCTAACATCATTGCCTGTACAGAAATAGAGAACGATTTTAAAGTCCCCTGCTCCTCCATCCACCATATCTAACAGTAATGTCGCCCTCGGCTTCCAATTCTGCTGCGCAGCCTTCAAAAGAGGAGAAAAAGCAGGCAAGTGGGCGGGGGAGGGAGTAAAGGGAAAAACACCCGGATGCTGAGGGCTCCCTTAATATTTTTCTCCTTACTGCATGAACTAGGGTTTGGCTGTTTAAATAGAGGTATAATTCGTGGCAGAAATGGTTCTCAGTCCTTGCTCTTGGGGCCCAAGGACCCAACCCATCAGCAGTTCAAGGCAAGGCCTTCTTTAGCATCGCGTGGCCAGGGAGACAGCAACGATGATGAGGCAAGCTGACTGTGGCGCAGAGAGCGTGACCTTGTTTGCAGGGCCGGCCTGGTGTAGCTCCCCCGCCTCCTAATTCTAAGAAAACGCAGGGCAGAATCTACTGACTTCCCAAGTTTTTCCTCCTACGCTCAAGGAAATGAGGACGAAACTCGGATTCATGGAGAACCACGAAAGGCAGACGTGGATGGGCACAAGGTTCACCGCACCTGCCACTCCAGGGTTGCGCCACGTTCTCTACAAACGGATTCGATCTGGGGCCCCAACCCAGTGGCTCCCGCACACAGAGGCCGCCACCTGCACATTCCCCACCTCCAAGAGAGCTGAATTCTGCTGAGTCACCCACCTCGCAGGTTGCGCTTTTGAGATGCCAAAGGTGTGCACAGGCCGCTAAGGATTGATTATGTAATTCCGGGGACCCTCTTGTGCCAGGGTCACCCGCTAGTTCCAGGCTACCCTTCTGCCACAGGCCAGCGCCCGGATAACCTCCAGTTCCCGGGCAACCAGCTCCCCAATTCCCCAGCTCGCCCGCCCCTACCCGCCCCCACTCACCGGCACCCGGTCCGGGTATTTCTTCCTAATCTTTTCACCTTCCTTTTTCCGATACTCGAAGGGATGGTCTTCCTTATACTGGAACTTCATGATGGACCGCAGGTTTGGGGGGGCTCCCCGGACGGGGCCTGCTCCGCGCGCTGGTGACTGTGTCTCGCGTCTGGCCACCCCTGGTCAATGTCAGCCTTATCACAATCGCTCCACACGCGTCAGCTACCACGCGCCCGTCGCCGCACTACGTGACTAAACGTCTGGATATCTCCCGGCCCAAAGGTAAAGGACCACCAGGTAAAGAAATCGAGAGGCTTTTCCGAGAGCTGGGAACACAAAAACACCAGGGCGGTGTTGTGACATCACGGAGCCCCGCCCCTATCCCGCCCCCGGCGCAAAGGATTTGCTCGATAGGGGTGGACAGAAAGCTTGAATATTTGTATGTGTCTCCTTCACGCCTAAGTTTTTCTAAATCATTCTAACAAAAATCAAATATCATTTTCTGTTTTTATTGTTCCTATTTTAGACAGAAAATATTTTTTAACCCAAAGAATGCTCTAACAAATGTCTTCTTTCCTCCCCTTCATGTTTCTTGCTTGGTGCCCAAAACAAACACACAGGAAGAAAATCCAGCTGTTTCCAGAGCAATGAGGGATCAGTAGTCTGGTAGAGGAAAAGCGCCAGGCGTCACGAGATCTGTAGCCCAGAAAGAAACGTCCTGTGCTTGCATTTTGACCTTTGCCTGGCACCCGTGGCTGGCCTGGGTTCTCCATCCCAGCTCCTCCTCTCCACTCTGGCGTCCTTTCGTTTGGATCTGTGCTGGAACTGGTACTGAGACAACATAAACAGAGCGTGACTCAGGGATTTGAGGAACCCGTCAGGGTGAAGAGCATGATGTCATCAAGGTTACAAGCAATGGCAGCGATGAACACTGGGCTTCATGCACGTTCAAAGGAGCGTTGAATCCATTCATTTTATCCTGTTCCAGTCAGTCCTGGGTTTTTTGAAAATACAGAGGTCAAGCAGTTTAGGTGACTGTGGTCTCCCCAGCAGTACTTCCGGGGACAGGAAAGTACTGACCTGCAGGACAGTTGTCCTGATGGAAAGACCTCATGGGAACCAAAATCTCTAGTGCAAGACCCTAAGGCGTACAGAGAGGATCAGACTGGATCCCAGGCCCCTCTGGCACACCAGGAATCTTTGGATGCTGGGTCAGCCTTCTCATCCTACTGGTAGTGACTCCCCAAACCTATATTTGGGGAGCATTAGAAATGGTAAAGATAGAGATCAGGGATGTTTTGTGTTGTTCAAACAAAATGACTTCTAAGTGGTACCGGGCAATCAGCACGTGTGGCCAGACTTTTTTTTTCCCTTTCAAATTACTCTCAGTGATTTGGCCTTCAATACCAATTTGGCCTTAACTCCCCAAACAAGAAAATGAAATGCATACCCCCTTCTGTTTTTTCTCCCAGGAATCTTTAAATTGTCCCTACATATAAAGACTGATGAGTTAATGCACCACATTGTTATGTTTATATTAATAATTTTCAGGTGTTGTTCCGACTGAAAAGAGTTTAATACCCAGTTAATCATTTTACGTTTGTCTTAAATACAATTAAGTCTTCCAGAAGAAAACTTTCCAACCATTTGAGATGAACCTGGGGATTAAAATAGTAATATTGTCGTTTTCTGAGTGATCTTCAGTGTTTTTTAATAGATGTATAATCTCAATTAATTGAAGCACAGTTTCTTCAGTCCAGTGACAATGTTTGCAGTGCATGAAAAATAAAAGGCGAAATATTGGTTAATCATCTAAGGGCTTTCTGAATGTTAGTGGCTTACATTAGAATACAAAATGTATTGGGAGCAGAAGAGATGGTTCAGTGGTTAAGATCACTGACTGCTCTTCTACAGGACCAGGGTTTGATTTCCAGCAACCCCCAGACAGTTCAAGACTGTCTGTAACTCCAGTTCCAGGGATCTGATGCCCTTTTCTGTCATCTGCTGTGCACTGCATGCTCATGGTGCATATACACACAAGTAGGCAGAGCACCCACACAAAACAAAAATCACTTGAGAAAGACAAAACGTATCTATTTCTACAATTTTACTATTTATTCTCAGAAGACTCTTTAAAATGTTGTATAGACGTACATTTAGAAATTAACAATCAAACAGATAAAAATTGTTTAAAATTCTTTTCTTCAACCAGACAAAACACAGGGTTGAAAAGGTCACATTTTTCTCAGGTAGCCACTCCAAAGGCTTCTTGTACTGTTCTGGCTTTTATGTTTATGAGATTGAAACTTTTTAAAAACTTTTTTATGCATATTCAGTCATGTAGAGGATTACAGGCTAGTACAAGCAATACCATCGTGCCCACTGCTTCAATTGTTTTCTTTCTATTTGAAAGTAAATTGGATTTCATCTCTGAATGTGAACATGTGGTTCATCATACTACATCTTAAAAATTGCTGGTTCCTCCACAATTAGGTGACATTGCACAGAGTTTAGTTATATGTCTCTTATCGAATGCATTTCATACCGCTCCTCAGTCAGACATTGCAGCTTGAAACTGAATATAAAGTTAAGCTTTATTTCCTTATTTATGATTATTTCTATTATCATATATATATGAATAAAAACCAGAATTAGGATACTGACCTAGATGTAACTAGCCATAAGTTAATGCAAATCATCAGAAAATGTACTTATTAAAGACTTTTAAAAAGAAGTTTTGTTTTTTTTTAAAGTTTTAAGTAAATGGTTACCCACAAATTAAATGCTGAAGATCATCTGTCTGAGACTTTTTGACTCCCATGCAAGGAAACTTTCTTGCCGCTAATGTCTCCTTCCTAGACACAGTGAGCACTTTGCTATCTCCCTGATGTGTTTAGCATCATGGGGAAATGACTTCCTCATTTTACACAGGGTTCTGCTTAGATTCAGGCAAGTATCTCAATATAGGGGAGATGTCAACAACTCACGGACCTGCTTTAACGTCACAATTGCCACCCACACTCACTCCTAATGGCATTCAATCTTGTTTTCATCACTTGTGGGTGGTCAAAGACAGACTAAAATGCCAAAATACATGTGTTAAGGTTTAGTTTTCCCTGTGTCACACGTTTTGCCTTATCCATCTATCAGCCTGCAGTCTTTTTTTTTACATTTATTTATTTACTATGTATACAATATTCTGTCTGTGTGTATGCCTGCAGGCCAGAAGAAGGCGCCAGACTTCATTACAGATGGTTGTGAGCCACCATGTGGTTGCATGGGAATTGAACTCAGGACCTTTGGAAAAGCAGGCAATGCTCTTAACCTCTGAGCCATATCTCCAGCCCCAGCCTGCAGTCTTACGAAGAAAGTCTAAGTCCTTAGAATTTCAATTCTCCGCTCTTCCACAGACAAACTTCAGAATTTCCTCCAAGATTGCCTATCCTCACAGGTCCCTGTGTACTTAGTTCACACTGGTAATTATGTCTTCAGAAGCTGAAGAACACCCTGAAATTTAGGAGGTGGGGATTAAAGAAAGGCCGAGGTCTCTCCTTCATAAGGGCACCAATCCCTACTATAAGGTCTTTGCCCTCATAACTTGATCATCTCCTGAAGGCCTCACCTCTCAGTACCGCTATATTGGTGAATGGCCGGAAGGGAGTCTGGTGAGGGAATTAATCAGTAAATGACCAACGTTCAGGTAGTCTCAGGTAAACACTAGATAAGGAAGACAAACTTGACACTCAGATAAGGTAGACCGATAGTTTGAGAGAGTCTTAACAGCATTCAGGGTCCTGGTTTCAGGTAGCATCCCTTTTGGAAAAGCTGTCCCTCACAAGATTAGACAATCTCCAGTCTTAGTAAAAGTCTCAGTCAGACCAGACTGGTACCCTGACTAACCAAACCAGCATTCTCTTCCTTTAATGGTTTGAATACCCCAGGAGGCAGTACCTCGTGCCATGATCTCTGCCATACCTCTCTGCCATGATCTCCTCAGGGCAGCCAGAGACCACCTGAGAACACACTGGAAAGCTCCTGGAGGAAATGAAGAAATGAAGAGACACATGCTTCTCAATCTATGAGACTATTGAAATAATGAATCCCCAAAATGGAGGTTTCCCCCAGGAAACTCATGCTGAGAGCAAGAAAAGCTACCAACTAGAAGAGGAATTTGTAAGGCAGAGAGATTTCAAACAGTTCTAGCAACTTGTTGTGTGACCTTCCAGGATGAGACTGAAACCAGATAACGGTGGTGGGGTGAGGGACCACACTTCAACTAGGATTCATTAGATATACATATCTTGGCCCTCTTTTATACTTTGATCCTGAATATGAGTTTGAGTGATTCGTTGGAGCTCTTTGTCCTCTTTCCCAATGTCTCCTTTCTCTGATTTCCAGTACTGATTTGATTCTTTTTATTGGCTTTTGAGGATGGGTGGCCAGACCAAAATTGGGACAGAGGCTATGACTCCAAGTTTGAAAGAACAAGACACAATTTTGGGTTACCTGTCTCTCAAAATGAGCTGACCCCAGGAAGAGAGGAAAGAGGTAGAGAGGAAAGATGGACGTTCCCAGTAGTTGTTGGAGTCATTTCCTCCAGAACCGTTTTCATCTTCCAAGTCAGCCTCCACTACTTTTTATCTCCATTTGGTGAAACTAAAAAGCAACTTGGGACTGTGTTTAGGATTTTCAGCCAAGTCTGACCCTTGATAGTCCTGTCTTGATCACTTCAGGCACTTCAAAGCACACTTCAGGCTTTGCTTCCCTTGCGATCCTTTTGAGTATTTTGGGGTCCTTTTAAACTTTTTGGGGAGTTGCCATTTGGTGCTCTTCTGTTGAAAAGTGCTGGGGTACAATAAAACAGAAACACAGTTGTGGCTGAGGTAGCAGCCTTTCTTGTCCATGGAATAAGATAGGTATTCCACTGAGACAGTGTCTATGAGTCCCTCTCCACCATCAAGATGACAGAATCTCACTTCCTACTCCACCACCTTTTCCTTGCCTCATGTCTGTAAGGCCCGGGTCTACCCCATCTTGAGGACAATTTCTGGTCAGCCAGCTAAAATATGCTGTTTGTTCCTTTGCTCCCTCAGCCCCACCTGGTGATTAGCTGTGGGCATTGTTTACTCCATCTTTGGTGTGGCCGTTTCCCACCTGCCTGGGGGGAGGAATTCCATTTGTAGCACCTAGGTATTTAAGGATTTCCCCAAGGTTGAATAAACAGCTTGCCTGATCTCCTTTCCAATGACCCTGGTCTCTTGTGTGTTCTTTCAATCTCCAGGCCCTTACCTGGCTTGCGTATGGTACAGTGGCACGTGAACTGTACTGAGAGGGTAACACAGAATGGATGTTACATATGTCTGGGAATC